AGAGAGAAAAGGGGAAAGAGAGAGAAAGCTACCATAGTTAGTTTGTATCATCTGGCTGTTCTTACCTCTGTTACTTTGGGTTGAAGAATTAAAGCTTCTGGACTCATACGGGGAATATCTATATGAATCTGAAAGAAAGCATTAAACTCAGAAAATTTCACATGATTTCAGCAAATTCAGGTATCTGCAAATATCAAGTTGTTTTTCAATAAAATAGTAGAAGAAAGCAGGCTTTCCATTTATTCAGCTCTTTTAACAAAACTTGACAATAAGCCTTTAAAGACTTTTGCATTTTCAAACAGATTTATAATATACATGTTCTCCATATCATTTTCAATATTGTGAGTCGTGAATATTCCACAGCCATATACTTCTGATTCTGTAACAGGTTAACAGTTCCTCTTAAAAGAGGAATGAGAGAGGTTAAGGTTTTTCCTATCTCTGTTCTACAACCTTTCTACAGTTACAAAGCTATGGAATCACTATTTATCTTGTCCTGCCCTATACAATTTCAGAATCATGTTAAACCCAGTTTGCTGCCCCTCACCGAGAACAGACAGCAGAAGGATACTATTGATCTGTTTCTGATCTATTAATGTAAAGAATAAAAGCTGCTGTCTACGAAGACGTCTTCAAAATGAAGATAAAGAGAAACACACACATCAAGGGCATACAAAGAAGATGAATGAAGAATAGGTTTAGAGAGAAATTAAATGAAGGATCAGTTTTACAGAGCAACCTCTGGTTACACAGATACATTTTGTATGATATAAAAGGTTTCCTAGGCTTTCAAAACAGAGACAGAGTCCCTCAGTAAAGACACCAGGGTCCTGAATTATCCATTTCTTTCCACTGTATACAACAGCAGTTTTCAAACTGTGTTCCTGGAAACTACAGAGTTCATTGACAACTTATCAGGGGTTTTACATTAAGACGATCAGGAACTGCACAAGGGCTTCATTCAAAGCAGCTTGCCCATCATTGCTGATCTTTCCCAGCAACTAGTAGAGCCTACATACAGTCAAGTTTAATGGAGAGACCCAGCCGGCTTGGCCTGTGGTCTGTGCAAACTGAATGTGCTTTCTATAAAATGTTCCAAAATGAACAGAGATCCCATAATCAACAGAACATTCCCTGAAAGCAGATTTGGGAAATACTGGCATAAAAACTTGCACAGGGCCAATCCCTATCTAAGGTGAACTGCAATAACAAAAAAGCAAAGGAAATCAGTTTTGACAAAGACAAGGATGCCAATGATAAAATTGGACAGCCTAGTCCAATCATCCCTTACATGCTCAAGAATTGCCATAATATCATATGCTGCCCTGATAATTGGATACCAGGAACAAACTGACATTTCTGCACCAATTGCAAAAAGAATTAATGACAAAGGGAAAGAACATCTGGCAAAAACTGACCAACAAAGCCCAAAGTTAAAATGTGAAGACTAAAAAAAAATTCTAATAATTTGGAGGAACACCAAAGAAGATTAAGAAGTTTATGCTGTTGATCTTCTCACCTGATGTGTCATTAAACATTCATAATTTATATAGCCATGTGTACAGAATGGTAGCACAGAAGATGTTATCCTGACATACAAGCTATCAGAAATACACATAGCAAAAACATACAATTGACCTCCAGATGTTTTTCTACTGGAAGTTCCAGTATCTGTCAGCAATGTTAATACTGGTTAGCACTGAGGGGAGCTGCAGACGAGACACATCTGGAGAGCCACTGTCGCCCACCTCTGCATTAAGCACATGTGTGAATATGTCCTTACAAGATTTCCCAATGCCTTCACCTGTCTATATGTATCCTGATGAGTTTCTTCATTTCTTGAATCGTAATATTGTTCAACAAAAGCAAAATATTCTTTCCGCTTCCTTTGTAAAGTGCCTTCTCTCCGATCTACATTTGCAGGGAGATAGCCCTAGAAAGTGAAAAACATTTAAACTATAGAAATTTTTAAAGACAAAATTCATGAAACAAATACTTGTGAAAAAGCTATTTCATATATTCCAGAATTAGATCTGTTCTAACTGCAGTCTGGCAAATGATTTCTTTCTTTTTTTTCCTTTTTGCTTTGAATGTCTCATTTTTCATTGGAAATGCATCTGTTTCACTTTTTATTCACTTCCATTTTCCTACTGATTTTAGACATGCCCCAGACTATGCTCTGTCACCTGTAACTTTACAGGTTTTTCCCATCCAAACAGCATTAAATATTCAGGCATTCTACAACTCCCCAAGGCATCAGACCTGCCACATTTTAGATGGATAAGACAAAGAGTTTCCATTTTATAGGCAATTAAAAAGGTGCAAACACACAACTACAATACAAACAGGAAAAGGCTTTCTATCAGTGTCACTGTTCTCCTCTGCTCCCACTCAGTGCTCCATCATTTCTCCCAATGTAATGTTGCAGACTGTGGCTCCTTTCAAGATTTTCATTCCAGCTATTCCCAGAAACACCTAATTGTTTTAAATGACTTTACGTCTCTTGGGACAGATGGATGGTTCATCGTATCTATCCCCAAGGTACTGGAAAGGATCATAGCTGTTGCTTTGAACAGCCAACCACAATCCTTCAAGAACAGGTGAACTGCTAAAAGATTTGTGATGGACAGATGGTATCCCCACACTCAAAAAATGGAGAAACATAGATCCAACAAAATTAGACCAGTCAGGTCGATGTCTAGTAAAAATGTTATATCAAATAATTAGATGGGCACACTGTGAGCATCTACAGCAAGACTAGTGAACCTGAAGCCTACTATATATTGCTGGACAGCAGTGACAAGGGATAATGCGAGCAATAGTTAACCATTGGAGGGCCAAAGGTTCCACATTCAAGTCTGAAGATCAGTCATTTGATTATTGGGACGTAGTTTTCCACAAGCCAGGCCTTCTTTGCAACAGCATGAACTCTATGAAGCTGCTGCTATTGGAGGTATACCTGGTGCACTCCCTGCTAACATTCAGAAGTCAGCTTAAAACACTGCTCTTCATAGAGGCCTTCCATAACAACTCTGTCTTATGCTGCCCCTCTGTTTTCAGTCTCATAGAGAAAGTGCCTTTGTACTACTGCTTTCTGATGGGTATTTTTAATGTTTTACACATTTTTGTTATCTCTTATTCTATTGGAATAAGTATACTGGGCCATGTTTCAAAAAGTAATGTTATCAATAACCTACAGTGGTGCCTCGCAAGATGAATGCCTCGCCGGATGAAAAACCCGCAAGACGAAAGCGTTTTGCGATCGTGTTGGTGACTCGCAAGACGGCTTCTTCTATGGCCATGCTTCACAAGATGTTTTTTTTCCGCAAGACTGATGCCTCGCAAGACTAAAATAATTCATTCGTCTTGCAAGGTTTCCCATAGGAATGCATTGCAATGCATTCCTATGGGAAACCTCTTTTCGCAAGATTTTACAAGACGCCGCCACTCGCGGAACGAATTACTTTCCTCTTGCGAGGCACCACTGTATATGATATAAAAGCACTTGGGTTTTCTACAAAGTCTTACTACACAGTATGTTAAATATTTCAGATTTTAGAACTAATATTCAATATTTTTCTGTAAGCCAAAAAGTCCAGAAATCAAGGTAAATGAAAAACGAAAAGCATTAATGAAGTCAAACAAAACACTATATACTGGAGCACTCCAGACAAGATCAAAATGTCACACACCATAAGAACGAGATATTCCAGTGCAGACTTCATGTGAATTATGCAAACTCTGTGGATGCAACCTTAAAAAGAAAAAGGATAGAAGTATGGGAAGTGTAGTATCCCACGCAGCTCATTAGATCATGAAAAACGTTTGGTGCATATCAAAAGGTACATTGGGGAGTTAAGCATTATGCATAAACATTTAGTATGCATAGTGCAGAAAGTGACCATACAAAGCCATCTGTAGAACGTTTTTACAAATCCAAGTGAACAAGAAAGTGATATGAGAACTTTTCTGCTATACAAACATTGCACACACATACAAATACTGACAGGTGTTGCAGAGGGATGTTTTCAAAGCTTAAACTGCACATCAGAAAGGCCAGATCCAAGGCAACAAGAATAAACAAGGTAAAGAACGCAACAAGTCTTGCAAATGGATGAAGAAGGTGACCAATGAAGAAGTACTGAGATGAATGAAAAAAGACCAATAAATCATAAAGCTCAAAAAATGCAAAAAGTTAGAGTACTTTGGTCATGATAAAAAACAAACTGTTTCAGCTGCTCTTTCAAGGTAAAATAAACAAAAAAGAAGAAGTGCAGAAAGGGGAAGAATGCATTGGTTGAAAACCTTGGAGACTGGTTTGAATGCAGAATACTATAACCATAATGACTTCTATCTCCAGTGAAAGACAATCAAGAAGAAAAAAAGGAGATATGCAGAGGGTCACAGTGAGCAAATTCTGCATGGGGATGTGAAGGAGGCAGCTGGTCTCAATCTCAATACTTTCAATTCCAAATAAAATCTAAAGAACGCCAAGATATTCTCTAGATGAGTTCTCAACAGGGTAGATGCAAGAACTGGGCAGATAGGCCAATAGGCTAAAATGAATGTAATAACAACAACAACGACAGAAGCAGCAACAACTGACCAAAGGAAGAATTGCCACTGGTCACGCTCATTTTGTCTCCAATCGTAACAAAAATAATTGAAGGTTTGTTATACTGCCTTGTTCTATCACTCCCAAATCAAGAAAATTATGATTTAATCTGCACTTACAAATCAGGATCTGGAAACCACAATTAGATGCTGAGTTGCAGTAAAACATCAAGTCACTTTTTAAAAATTCAAGTGCATTCAAAACTTTTGCTTAACAGACTCTGGAAGATCTGTTTTATGTCAGAAGTAAGCATTGAGGACACAAGATTTGACACAACAGTCCTTATTAGACTGAACCAATTACAGTATTTTCTGTGTATAAGACACCCCCAAAATTAAAAAATCTAAATGGGGCTTAGCAAATGTAGTATAAAAAGGATCAAAGTGCTGCAGGATGGCCTTGATCCCTGCTTTCTTCCTTTGTGCTAAGCCCCACGTGGCTTAGCAAAAGGAGGGGGAAAGGGATCAAAGCAATTCCATGACTGCACAATCATTTTGATCCCTTTCCCCCTTATACAGCCATGGGATTGCTTTGATCCTTCCCACCTCCTTTTGCTAAGCCCCATGGGACTTAGCAAGCGTAGGGAAAAACAGGGATCAAAGTGATCCTGCAGCACTTTGATCCCTGCTTTCCTTTTGCTAAGGCTTAGCAAGTGGGGGGGAAAGCAAGGATCAAATCCCTGCAGTATCACTTTGATCCCTGCTTTCCCCTCCACTTGTTTTTTCTCCTCAGCTTACTTCCGTGTATAAGACAACCCTCAATTTTTAGTTTAAAGATTTTAGACAAAGTATAGCCTTATACACAGAAAAATACGGTACATCAAAAGTAGGCTACTGGGTCATTGCCCAGGGTCCTTAGTGAGCTTGAGGGCTCACCTAGGGTTTGAATCCACATCTTGCCCATACAATCCCATAATTTTACCACACAGGCTCAAGAAGCATACAAGCTTTCATGACAATTTAAATAAAAGACTATGATTTGATGATAGGGATATTGTGTCTAGAACCAGCAAAGATTTCCTATTAAAACTGCACATTCAAGCACCGTGGGTGTGTCTAGCCTCCACTTGTGCAGAGCTGGTGACAGCTGGGTTCCCTGGCACAGACTCCATGGGCTCCACTTCAGAGTTTAAACATATGGACACTTTATTTACACTTTCACTACAGCTTTGCAAAATCCCTGTAGTCTTGGAAGATGCAGGTTGAGGGCATACACTACTCTCTGGACACCCTCTCTCTCAGTGGGATCCTCAGTTATCTTCATTGAGAGTCCCCACAGTTCAGGTCCACCAACATGAGACTTTATCCGCCTTAAAGAGGGTTTGCATTGTCCTTGGGATAGATGCCAACTGTCCAGTCCTTCCTTTCCCCTAGTCCTTGCCTATCCAGGACAACAACGGGGGGGGGGGGAGACTCTGCTGTCAGTCAGCAGAGGTCTTTCAAGTACAGGAAGTCATAAAGTCCTCCCAGCTTCCTTGGGCAGCAGCAGCCCCTCTGGGGCATCAACTCAGGTCCCTTCTCCTTCCTCCTCCTCTTCAGTTGACTAGCAGCCTCCCAAAGCCCTGTCTTCATTTTTAGTCAGCTTCTGGTTACATCAGGCTGCTGTACCTTCCCCAGCTTTCTTCCCTTCCTCTTTCCTTCCACCATAGCCTTTTCCCCTGGCTGAGCCTTCTCAGCCATTTTAAAAGGGCCTGACCACTTAACATAAGTGTGCCAGCTACCTGACATGCTCACCCCATCACAAACATGCACTAAAATAATACCCACATATTTTGAACTGTATTGATTTTAAGGTTTTAACTCTACCTGTGTACTCTTTCAACATACTAGCTGAAATCCTGTTGCACAACTTACACGGCATAAAGCTGATGATCTCATCAGCTGTGGCATTTTTTTTCAGAAATTAAATATCCCCTCACTCGAATACTGCAAGGCTCTATCCCACCTGCAACCCTCAATAGCTTCCCCACAACACAAAGGATTTCAGAGGAGCCTGGCAACCTTTAGGTAGGGGAATTGGAAATGTTTAATTTCTAAAAACTTGATGTGGCCTTACAAGGTATTACTTTGGATAAGAGCCATTGTGTACAGTTACATATGGATGCATTTCTTATCAAGAGTTTATATTTTCTATAGGATATTATTCTTCCAATTAGAAAAAAATGATAAATACATCTGTGCCAATACACCAATATTTTCTTTAACAAGGTGGTATTTACTGTTAATGAGCTTTAAAAATGAACACAAGCAGTCCTTTTTATAGATAGCTTCAATATCCTGGTTTATTTCCAAGTAAAGAGTTATTTTTGCAATTATGACTGAAAACATTGTCAAATATTAAAATGTTATATTCCTCTATGGCTTCAGAAAACACTTTAGCCTTATTTATAATTACCCTTCAAGAACCCCTCTGGGCAATCCAGAAGTCGTTTAGTAAAACGGGGGAAATATATTTTTGTTGCATTTGTGCCAAACGGAAGGTTGGAAATCTTACCTTTATATTATTCTGTCATTAAAATATTTTAATTAATACAGATTTTAGAAAAACAGAGAATTCTGTTTGGTGCATGCCAGCTGGTGCAAGTCAGGTTTCTCAACAAATTGAAGATTGACAGACTAGTGTGCCTTTAATTTAAATTTATCTTCACATTATTTCCTTTAGCGACCTGAACAAAAGGGTACATAATTTATATTGTCTAAGACACCCATTCTCAACAGGGGTCATATGCCCCCTAGGGGGCTCTGAAACTTTTGAAGGGGGCTACAGACTAGAAACAATTCTTTATACACCACCTTATAAGGTTAATTACACAATATATACAGTCCTCATTTGGCCTATATTTCTTTCATACTGTGTCTATGGGCATGGCTAAAAAAGAGGTTGAGAATGCCTGGTTTAAGATAATAACAACATGAGAGCACTCAACAGCAGGGGATAAAATGACATCAGTCCAAATACCCTGTTTCCCCAAAAATAAGAACAGGTCTTATATTAATGTTTGCTACAAAAATGTATTACGGCTTATATTCAGAGTTGTTTTATTTTTTCATGTACAGTGGTGTCTCGCTTAACGAGCGCACTGTTTAACGAAGAATCCGTATAGCAACATGTTTTTTGCGATCGCTAATGCGATCACATTGCGATGTTTTGAATGGCAAAACATCGCATTGCGTTACCGATCTTCACATTGTGATGTTCTAAAAACAGCTAATCTGTGGTTCCAAAATGACCGCCGGAAGAAAAAATGGCTGCCCGCTCCATTTTTGCACCCTGCCCTCGCTTACCAGGTGGCGTAAATGGCGGCCGGATGGGGGAATCTTTGCATAGCGGTGAGTTTTCGCCCCATAGGAACGCATTAAACAGAGTTTAATGCATTCCTATGGGTTTCCCCCTGCATAGCGACGAATCCGATTAGTGACGTTAATCCTGGAACGGCTTAACGTCGCTACGCGGGGCACCACTGTACAACAATCTCCATTATTCAAATACATTCATGTCATCTTCTAGAACATCGTTATAACTCTCCTAACCCCAAATTCTGTCCTGAATTTCTTGTGACCGCCTCCAGGGAGGGAGGAGCGGTGGCGGCAGTGGTGATGTTGGCGTTAGGTGCCCCAGCATGGACTGGCCTTGAACCCCTTCCGCAGCAGGACAGGACAGTTTCTGTCTCGTTTCACGAACTCAATTGTTGAAGTGGTGGTGGGAGGTGGAAGTATGGATCCCTCTGGTCCTTGTGGACAAGATGGATCATACTAGGGCTTATTTTCAGGTTAGGTCTTATTTTCAGGGAAACAGAGTAGTAGAAAAGTGGTTAATATGAGCTAAGAAGAATACATCTTGGAAATTTGATTTTGGATGGAAAATGTAACTTCAAGTGAGTCAAGAGAAGACAAGAATATCTAATGGATATCATTTCTGCTTCGCTTCCTAAGAAAGCATACCCATCTAATCAAAATAAGAACCACATAATCAATAGGACATAGAACTGTTCTCATTCTTCTTTTCAATCATCAGTATAAGTTAAATGAACAGGCGAACTCATCCTGAATGTCAAGATGAAATGTCAGTGTTTTAAATGTATACTTTATTTAAAAAGCAGCTACTGCATTCTGTGTACTTAATTTTAATTGCAAGCAGCTACTTATTAAATATTCACTGTTGAGAGATGCATCTGAATTTTGGATTAGAAGGCATTAAGGCCGAAAATTTATCGTGACTCATTAGCAAGAGAGAATCCTTTAAACACTAAACATCAGACCTCTTCTGAAGTGAAGACTTCACATTCCCCATAGATTCAACCCCTTCAAAAGAGAGAGAGAGAGAGAGAGAGAGAGAGAGGAAAAGGGGGGACAGAACAGTTTTAAGTCTTCTCTCTGAAAAATTCAGCAGTGCTAAACTGCTGGGTGTATACCTTGGAAGGTTAAAAAGCTAACATAAAAATCTGCTGATGAAGCAGGAGACATGTTCTCTTGAGCACCTGCCACTGAATACATATTTATTTATTTAAAATATTTATATGCCACTTTTCTCCTAAATTAATCAAAGGCCACTTACAATATTAAAAGAAGCAACATTAAAAACTAAAACAATAAATTATTACAATATTAAAAAGAATTAAACAAATATATTAAAAACTTGTAAATAAAAGCAGTATTAAAAACAACAGAGATACAATAGTCCTTTAAAAAAACAAACTTAGACAGCCCAGACATTAAAAGAAAACCAGCCTGAAGCTGAGAAGCTATGACCTTCTCTATCACTTTGGACAAAAACATTAGAGACTGTTCAGTAATTGCTCAGTATTATGGGATCCAAGCAGATCTTTTTCAACAATGGTCTTGCTACTGCCTTCTTTGAGTGTGCTGGGATCCTGACCTGCTACAAGGAGACATTCACACTCCTCCCACCAACTCAGCCACTCCTCTCTCTGGAATACCGGTGTTTTAAAAGCCAGGAAGGCAATGGTCCGCCAATGGTCCAACAAACATGCGGTAGCCTTCACCTCTCTGCGGTAGCCTTCACCTCTCTAAGAGTTCTATAAACATCATCAGGATGCAAAAACTGAACCTTATCTATTAACACAGGACAAGCAGGGCCCAAATGCAAATATATCTTGCTTAAAACCTTTTAGCCCCCAGCATGGAAACAATTCTAGCAAGTATCAATATGCACTAGTATCAACATGCACCAGACACAACATATAATATACTTAATTTTCTGTAAGTTTTTATCTAGCACCACAGAGTGTTCAGGAGTTTGAAGGCGGGGGGAAAATTTAGCACTTGTCATGATTTACTACTCTGTTCTCTTATGACAAGCCAAGCTTGAAATTAAGAATAGAACAGTGTTCTTTTTGTCACACTGTTTTGGCGTACCAGTGATTAGCTATGACTCATGCAAAATTATAAGGGGTGACAGAAACAACACTATCATCATGAGAAAATACTGAAGTACTTACTGAAAGAAGCTTCCATGTAATTGGCCGTACTAGTTTTGGGATTCCTGACCAGCTCAACCTCCGCAATTCTTCTGCTCTCATTAGAAAAGAAAAAGTAAATTTTAGTGAGAGAATAACAGATTAATCCAGGTTAAGTCTATTTTTTATATTAGAAACATATATATCTCACAAGGTATTGAGCAGGAATCATTCAAACAGTTAAAAGTCAAATTAATTATTTTTTTAACAGAAGAAGTGTTCTCAAATGAATTAAGCATCACATCGTCCTCAAATACACAGTAAATCTAAATGTCCCAGAATAAAACTAACTGCCTGATCCTACCACAGTACAACAGCCAAGAGAGGAGATAACAAATCAATATATGATCACAGTATTTGCATGTCACTCTATCAGAATAAATCATAAAAATAACTGTCTCATTTGGAGCCAATTATTTTACTTTGTATTTTATTATTAGTTTGATTTATTGTTACTCTTTGTTCACTTTATTGACAGTTAACTACCCAGAATAGTGCTTTGCACTATTCAGATGTTATAGAAGCCAAATAAAAAAATAAACAAATAAATATTAAGCAATTGAATAAGTATTAACATAATCAAGATTAAGCAATCCACTAATGTTGTGATGAAGAGGCTCCAGATGCTTGCAGACAGAGTCTATCCAGAATCATAGTGTGGATTTCGAGCTAATAGATCCACCACTGACATGGTATTCTCCCTCAGCTAGTTGCAGGATAAATGCAGGGAACAACAACAGCCACTCTTAGTGGCCTTCATAGATCGCACAAAGGCCTTTGATTTGGTTAGCAGGGATGGCCTTTTTAAAATACTTCCCAAGATTCGATGTCCACCTCGTCTCCTTAACATCATCAGATTCTTCCATGAGAGAATGAAAGGCACTGTAGTTTTTGATGTCTCAATATTAGATCCCTTTGACATCCGAAGCTGAGTGAAACAGGGCTGTGTCCTCGCACCAACCGTTTTTGGGATCTTTTTTGCTGTCATGCTGAAGCATACCTTTGGAACTGCAACAGAAGGTGTCTATCTCCGGACTAGATCAGACGGAAAGCTCTTTAATCTCTCTAGATTGAGAGAAAGGACCAAAGTCCAACTGACATGCATACAGGACTTCCTCTTCGCAGATGATGCAGCCATTATTGCCCACTCTGCTGAAGACCTCCAACAACTCATGAATCGTTTCAGCAAGGCCTGCCAAGATTTTGGACTAACAATCAGCGTGAAGAAAACACAAGTCATGGGCCAGGGCGTGGACCCACCTCCCTCTATTACCATTTCCACATAAGAATTGGAAGTTGCTCATGATTTTGTGTACCTTGGCTCAACAATCTCTGACACACACTCTCTAGATGTCGAGCTGGATAAACGCATTGGCAAAGCAGCTACCATGTTCTCTAGACTCACAAAGAGAGTATGGCTCAATAAGGAGCTGACGACACATGCCAAGATCCAGGTCTATAGAGCCTGTGTCCTGAGCACACTCCTGTACTTCAGT